AGTGACAGAGGCCTGCACACATTGATGCGTAGTCCCTACAATGGGTCAAGCTTCATAACCGTTGGATACTACATTTCCCATAATGCATAGCAAGCACCCATCTTTTTTGAACTATCTGGCGTTAGCATTGGACGCCACCACTATCATAATGAGATGTCCCCACACTGTGAAACATACACACAATACACAAAGTAGAGTGTTTAAGCATTAACAATGAGAGAATGTTTTTGTATCCAAAGGTATCCCTCTTGTGTGCTTTTTTAAAATAAATATTTTAACATATTTGTTTGTTTCTGTCTTGTTACATATTGCACAGCACACATGCTCAGGTAATGCTTGATGGGGATCCTGACAAGAAACAGAATGGAAACACTGCAAGGTGATTAAAAGAAGCTCACGTCAGGACGGTGTCCTCACACACTCCCAGGACTACTAAAGATGAACATACATCCCACACCTACCTCATGTTTCTGACTCTTCCTCAGTTGTCATGGAGATAATGTGGCTGTCCTCTAAGTGAGGAAGGCCATGGCTGAAAGTGTTGGAAAGCTTTAGAGAAACAAAGTAAATGGACGAGGAATCTAACCTCCCCCTCTGTTTACGGAATCATTTAACAGCAAATACAGGATATGATGTTTTCTTTTGCTAGGTGGATGAGTCTGTTAAAGAACAACAATAAAAGAAATACCACAATGACAGATCATCGAAAGTCTGTCGTCTAATAAGGCCTTCTGTTGTACTTCCCCAAAAAATAAAAGCATAAAAAGACATCACAGTGAGGGTCAAACCTCTTTATATCTTGAAATGTATATTAAATAACATTTAATTGCAGCACTGAGATTGAAGGGCCTATCAGTCTGACAAGTGTTGAGACTATTTCTACAAACGGTGAGCACTGACTGCCCCCCCCCCCCCCCGGAGAACTACATGACTGTAGACCCAGCTGATCTCTGTGATGATGCACTGAACATGGGTGTGTTAGTTCACATTGTGTAATACAGTCATTTAGTAATGCAACAGTTTGAACAATTTGTATTCCCCTATTGTAAAGAAAGAACAAACATCTAAAGATCAAATTAAATTATAATTCTTATTTATTTCGATCTTTGGAATTGAAAGTTGAAGCAGCTCTTAAAGTCAGGGTGGGGGAGGGGGGCAAAGGAAATATGAATGGAGGGCCTTGTTTTAAAAAAAATAAAAATGAAATATAAAACTGGCTATATATATATTAAAATATGTATATCACAGCACTGATATCAGACCACAGATCTTTGTGTCTCTTTTCCCATTGTTCTCTCCCCTCTCTACTGCCAAATGTCAGCAAAAAGTAAGTTTGAAGTTCACATCAAGGTTATCAGAGTGGTTCATAATGCACTCAGTGTGTCTCTAACAGGCGGCTCAGTGTCAGTGTGTTCCTGAGCAGGATGGAAACACGCTGTAGAAACAGAACACACAGAGCAGAGGCCTGTACTACGAAGCTGGATTTTCGCTTAGCCAGCTAACTTCAGGGAAATCTCGGGCTTTCCGGTCCTACGACGCTGGTTCTCTTTTTAGCGGGCTAGATCTCCATGGTAACTTATGCTGAGCGGCAAACCTGCTCCGGAGCAGGTTAGGTGGCAGGCTAAGAGATCAACTCAGTGAAAGCACTGCCTGCTGACCAATCAGAGCTCCGTGTGCGGAGTTTAAAGCGATCAATTCATATTACAGGATAGAGGAAATACAGAAAAACTGCCGTTGCAGGAAAGATGGCCGGCCAAAATCAACTGACTGTGTGAACGTGAAAATGAATAGAATATCCCCTCCCATCTTCAGAGCAATCTGACCATTATAATATTAGCGTTAAGAAAGCTTACTTAAATATCTGCCACGACATAAGTAACCGGATCAGAGTAACATTAAGTACAGTCCGCGGCACTGTGAGTGCAGACGGCGATGTGTCCCATTATCATTCATATCATATCACATCATAATGTATCATATATTTCCTTATTTGAGTCAGCTTCTTGAGCCGTATCTGGCGTGCAACACTCACAGTGTCACATACTGTATGCAGAAGTATTATTTTAAGCAACACATTAAGTTGATGAAACACTCAAGTCAAATGTAATTAAAGTCAGATCCACTCGTGTCTTGGACGGGGCAGTGATATCATAAACCTGTTAATGTACGCATTCAAACACTTTTTCTTTTACCAGCTGTATTCACCTTGCAGGTGCAGCTATGTGGCTTTTATCCTGGATAAAGTGTTTAAGTCATGGATGTTTAAAGTTTAACTTCTTCATATTTGACCAATATTAAAGTTCACTTTTCATTCAGGAAGTATGACGCTGCGCTGTCAGTACGCTTGTCCGTGTTTGAGATTGGTCGAATGCTCCAAATACCACCCCTTTCATGTGAACGCGCACCTAACTAGATAGGACACGGCTGGCTTGAGCGATCCACTTGATAACCAGCGTCGTAGTACAGTTTAGCCAGAGCGCGTATGTTTTGGATTGGGCCAACCGGCTAACTCAAACATATCCAGGTTAGGTTGAACCAGCTTCGTAGTACAGGCCTCTGATCTCACTGAGGAGCCCTGTGGACTCTTCTTGGATACAAACCATACACTGTATATATAAATGGACGTAGGGTCTGTGACGTTGCCCATAGGATTCTGCAGAGTTGCCGAGAAGACAGTGGGTGTTTCTCAATCTGCCGAGCATCTTGCTTCAGAAGCGAGTCAAGAATACTTCCTGGCATTCGGAAAACGAAGAGTGGAACACGCTAGCAAGTGTGCAGGTGTGCGTCATATGAGAGGCCCCGCCTTACATCTTCCGCCACAGATTTGGGGAAATTGGTCCGTGCGCAAAGCATTGTGGGGATTTTAAGACCGCGGAGTCTACTCATGTGCAGCCTCGATATTTCTCCAAACGGAGTACGCCGGGCTCGGTAGATTTCCAAGTATGCTGGAGATTGGAACAGTCCTTCGGCGGCACTCGATGACGTAGTATGCTTGAAATAGTGGCTCTGAAGCAGCTTTACTTGCGATTGAGAAACACCCAGAGACGTCAGAGTCCAACTCCCGCCTGCTCCAAATAGAGTGGCAAAGTCACGCCCATCTACTTCCGGTCCATGGGACCTTATTTCTGAAAAATAATGTATTGAAGTCAATGGAGAGAGAAAACGTATCTTTCGATCCCGTTTGAATTGTGCCATGAATTACACATATGATGTTTGTCAATCTTAAAAAATCATTTCCATGTCAAAAAAGTCACAGTGTGTCGTAAAACTGTTGAAATATAAGACTATGAATAATACGCAACTAGAAAGACTACAAATCCCAGAGTCGCGTAAGTGATGTCATAACTGATGTCATAATTGTTTTCCTCCACTAAATAAGAGATAGCTAAGATAAGATAACTTTAACAAGATGCCTGTGTGCTTAGTACCAGGTTGTTCATACCAGCAATGGGTCTTGCTCGTTCTTTCGCCTCCCGTCTGATGAAAGGACCAGGAGTGGCTGGATCAAGTTAGCTAACTAGCTAGTAGCAAGCACGTTAGTTAGCATTACAGCCTTAGCCTTGTCATTTTTATTAGCCCAAATTGGGACCTTATTTCGGAAAAATTATGTATTGAAGTCAATGGCGAGAGAAACGTTATCTTTCGATCCCGTTTGAATTGTGCCACGAATTACACATATGATGTTTGTCAGTTTAATTTTGCAAGTCAAAAAAAAAATGTTTTGCCGTAAAACTTTGGAGTAAGACTTTTTTTGTGTGAAACCGCTAAATGAACTACACCTCTGGTCTCACACAACACACGTCACCAAGATGGCCGTCACTACTGTCTTACTAAACATTGACTACCCTCACTATCACCACAATGAAACACGTCCAGAAGAATGTCATGCAAAGCTGCCTGCCTGCCTTCCATTCTCCCTGAACTGCCTGATCTTTTTAATGTTCAATGTTAACCATTTGTGCAGATAGCATGAAGTAATAAAAGATCGCCGATGCTAATGTAGCGTTAGCGTTAGCATGTCTCCCTCGGGGGCAACCGGGCTTAAACGGTGTATTATAGAATGATTTTACCGGTGTGACGGTACTCTTCAAAGGGTTCACGAAATATGACTACTACTCTACTGTTTAACATTTTGGGTTACTTAATGTTACTTCATGTTAAGGCTAATAAAAATGACAAGGCTAAGCCGGCTGTAATGCTAACCAACGTGCTTGCTACTAGCTAGTTAGCTAACTTGATCCAGCCACTCCTGGTCCTTTCATCAGACGGGAAGCGAAAGAACGAGCAAGACCCATTGCTGGTATGATAACAACCTGGTACAAAGCACACAGGCATCTTGTTAAAGTTATCTTAGCTATCTCTTATTTAGTGGAGGAAAACAATTATGACATCACTTACGCGACTCTGGGATTTGTAGTCTTTCTAGTTGCGTATTTTTCATAGTCTTATATTTCAACAGTTTTACGACAAACTGTGACTTTTTTGACATGGAAATTATTTTTTAAGATTGTGTAATTCGTGGCACAATTCAAACGGGATCGAAAGATAATCTTTCTCTCCCCATTGAATTCAATACATAATTTTTCCGAAATAAAGTCCCATGGGGCGGAAGTAGAAGGGCAGGACTTCGCCTCTCTATAAGCGCAAAGAGGCGGAGCCGAAGCGGGAGTTGGAAGCTCCAGAGCTAGCTGAAGCTACCAAGCTAAGCTAACATGCTCCCCGTCTGCACACTGCCGTCGCATTTTACGTTTCTAAGGTAAGCGGACATGAAACTATTCAGCAAAACTATAAATAATAATCTAAGTTATTGAGTTTACAAACAGAAGGCATGTTTACCTTCACGTTGTGTGTGTTTACATTCATGTTCCTGTTGCTGGTGTCACCGCCACCTGAACATCAGGAATAACTCCGCAGGGAACATCAGGGGTTAAAAACAGTAAATAAAATGAAATGTGTGTTCAAATTTGATTAGGTTTGATGCACAGAAAATACTACTATCATTATATATATTAACTATAATTTGGTTTCTTTTTATTGAATTTTTCATTATATGTCTTTAAAAAATCTTTTTGGTTGTAAATCTGTTATTATCACTGAACCTGCACACTGAGGGAAGAATTGTTATGGCAAATGTGAACGTCCAAACATTTCTTTCACTTTGAGAGGGAACCAGTTTCAGTGTATTTGTGGCAACTTAAGTATGATCAAATGCTATAAATAATACACAGCCTATCATAGACTACACAGATTTCATGAAAACAACAGAATCACATTTCCCATGGAGAAGCACAAAACAAGAGACATAGCAACTGGATAAAAAAGAAAAAGACAAATGAAAACTTTTTGTTTTACGAGATCCTATCCATCTTATAAAATGATATTTTCACGTTATGTTTTCTGATATCACTACAGCTTATTTTGTTTTTACTTTACTTATTATAACAACATTTCACTTCATTTGGTGCATCACAGATCCTTCTCAAAATCAAAAGAATATCTTTACAACAGAAACAGTTTCTCTTCATAACATGAGAAGCTTTCTTCATCTCGTTCACACAAGAAAAACCTCTTGTTAGAATGTGAAAGGGATCGAGCTAGAAACACTCTACTGTCGGCTCGTGTGTGTGTGAGTCTTTCCATGATTGGATTTTTTCTCCATGGCATATGAACAAAAAGCACTGATGATTGATTGTGTGTGTGTGTGTGTGTGTGTGTGTGTGTGTGTGTGTGTGTGTGTGTGTGTGTGTGTTTGATAATATTCACAGTTGATTGGCACCATTTTCGCAGCAGCTTCAGTTCTGAAAATGAGCTGCGGATGCTCTCTGTCCCTGGCTGTTTCTCCTGGACCAATAGAATGGCAGTGGTGGTGAGATGGTCCCACCCTCCACCTTGACCCCACCTCCAGGACCATGTCCATCTCCCCCTCCTGTGTCCTGCAGTCCAGTGGCAGTGGGCTCAGTGGGGGGGGGGGGTTCTGAGACTGAGCGCGGATGTGCAACTCAAACACAAACACAAAGTCTGGATCCCTGAGGATGCTTCAATGAGATTTGGCACACAGTGGTACTACATTATTGGGTGGGTGGGGGGGGGTTAACTGATCACAGTGTCCAGTCTCTCTGGATCCACGCTGCATCTCGCAGATCCCTCATATTGTACCTGTCATCAAAGAGAAACAGAGAATATAAAACACAATGAAGGGTATAACAATCCTACAAACTGTTCAGGCCATTATGTGGGAGCTTAGGAAACACTGTACCTGTGCAAAAAAGCTTTAATCTGATGGATGCTCCGGACATGATCTGTTCACCTCAAACCACTCATCGATGCAGCTGGGAGGAGATATGAGAAACATACACTTAATCACAGTCTAGTATGGGGTAATAACAGTGTTATATAGGTGTAATAACAATAACATGGGTCTAACACGGTGTGATACTGGTCAAATAATGGTGTAACATGGGTGTAATTGGGGTGTATAATGTGTAATAGGGAATTAATAACAATGTAGAATTGGAGAAATACCAGTGTAATTAAAGTGTAATATGGGTCTTATAACAGTGTAACATGGGAATAATAAGGGTGTAAAATGTGGGTAAAAGCAGATTAATGTGGGTTTAATAATGGCGATTAATTAATTTTCCAAATGCCCATTTAAGGGTTAATCAGAAAAATTCACATTCAATGCACAAAACAATATGGCTTTCAGATATTCACAATAAACTGATCAGGTGCATACACAAAGGGAGAAATAGATGAATACATAAAAAATACATTGAAATATAAATTACATATTTTAATTAAGGAAAATACTTCAAAAGGAAGGGATTTTTATGTATATCATATTTTATTTTTGTATGCATACAAATGTTTTCATTCCTATTTCCCATTAACTTATAAAGGAAAAAATAAACTCACTTTATAATACACAAAATGTAGGATTATACCGTTTTATTTCTTGTTTTTCAGGAAATTCTTCTTTGATTTGTTTCAATAAGAAAAAGAATATTGACATAAAGCGCTCATCTGATCCTCTATGACTCTGCTGACACCTAGTGGTGAAGGACCGGCACGTTGAAAATGAAAATGTAGTTTCTGTGTGTTTAAGTATAACAGAAATGTGAGTCTGTTGGAGAAGCTCGGACCCATTGTGTATTTTTAGTCCTTTATGTGTTCCCTGGACAGTGTCCCTGTCGGGGGTGGGGGGTGGGGGGGGGGTGAGGCGTCCTACCCTTTGTGGTAGATGCAGAGGCAGGGCAGGCGGGCGATGGTGTCGCCCTGCTGCAGCTCCTCCAGGCAGATGGCACACTCTCCTGCATCCTTCGTCAGGACGTCCTCTGCAACCACACAGCCTCAGTTATCATTCACAGAACATTCTAAAGATTCAGTAGATACTTCATCTTCTCCCAGTATGACACGAGACAACATAGAAAGAGACCTTTTTGCACATTTCAGTTGTTTGAATTACACTTCAACATGCTACACTGTTGTTTGTGTCATTTAAACAGTTATACTGTAGTAAGTGCTATCGTTTTCTTTGCTACTCTGAAGATGTTTTTGCCAACATGCATGACAATAACACCTTTGAATATTTCCTCTATGAACCTCGAGCCTTGTAATGTTCTTTCAATAACCATCTTTCTACTGTTCTTTGTTGTTTTAGGTATTTGAATAATTTATTTGAGAAACAGATATTTGTGGATATGCAGCATCAAGCAGGCTCTATTCCTTCTCCTCCTGAATGATAGCATTCTCCACGAGGGCAGAGTGTGAGGAGATCCCACAGGCTCAGTGCATTCAAACAGTTGATTGTGTGCAGGAATTCTTTGCAGTATTCCCACTACATTATGATGTATTGTGTGGTGGTGGGGGTGCGGTTGCTCTGGTGACAATGGATTTCCATAGCAACATTCACAGCATCTGTTGTTCAGCCCGTTGGATGGAAACACTGACGGCCATCGTGGTGTTATAGAATACAGAGGGGCAGGTAGAACTGAGACACACAGAGTGAGCAGTGTTTAGCTAGGCCAACGCTAGGTGAAGGTTCAAATGTGCTAATTATGTTTAATCCTCATTTATTCCATTTCTCTTACTACAAAGTTCTTTCAACCACCTGTGGATATTCATTTAGTTGATCCAAGTTGATTTAAGTGCACTGCAGTAAAGAGAGATAGAAAGTAACCGTTTTGAATAAATGTTCACTTAACTTGTGTCTTATTAGTTATATTGTATTCTTGTATTTGATCAGATGCAAAAAAAACTCTAAATATCAGCATTGGGCAAAGACAGATTTATATTACTCCGGCACTATATAATACAGTTCTGTTAAATATATGAAAGATCACGTCAAGATATAAGAGTGAATAATCTGTTGCCATATGACGCAGCTGATTGTGTGAGTCTCAGCCTTAATTTAACACACGATATCTACCCCCCCCCCCATAAGAGACGGTGGTGCATTTATGGGCAGCGGCTGTTAGTTCAACTTTACGACTTTTGATTTGAATTGTTTTTAATTGTTGTCTGTTCGGATCTTGACTGCTTTTTTTTTTAACGCAAGGCATATGACATGATTTATGATATAGGTGTTCAACCGTTGGTAGTAATTTAGTATTGTTACGTAGTCCCTCCACAAAAAGCAATTACATTTTATATTGGATTTTGGAATATTGCAGAAAATACGCTCTGTGGCACACACACGTTTATGCTACTAACGCGTTCTGTAAGGCAGGATCATCTCCACATATGTGCATTTTGAGGCGCAAAACATCTAACGGTATGAACTAACCACAGCATGGTCACATGACTGCACATCACCCCCCAAAACTAATGTTGGGCATGATGATATTCAGTAATTAATGTAGTCAATTATTAGCAACTGCTGTTATAAGACACATAGAAGCTCCGTCATTCAGCAGTGGCGTATTTACTGATGTGTGTAACGTCATATTAAATAACAGAGATCTCTGCAGCTTGTGTTGACTTCAGATCTTATTCCACGATTCTAAAAAAAACACTCAGAGGACTGTTGACTTTGAGACGAGGTAAATGCTAACTCATTCCCAGGTGTTTAGGTCTCATTCCTGCACCCCTCAATGCATACATATTACATACAGTTAATGCTCCATTTAAAGGTGGGGTATGTAATTTATTTCAGAAACACTTTTTGTTATATTCCATGGAATGCTCTTAACATCCCGATAGCAATGAATATATTAAATGCTTTGACAATAAATACATAAAAAAAGGTCATCTGTGGAAGCCGTGGCGCTGTAAAAAGCACGACCAATAATCTGAGCCGACCCGGCTAAAATAACTGGATGGCCTACCTGCCTGTCAGCCTTCCATCTGTGCACAAACTTATCTCGTGCCCTCATTGGTCATGTGCGCGCTTGTGTGTGTTGGGGGAGGGGCTCTGTAAGGAAGTCTGAAGGAAGAGGCAGATCTTTTACGGTTGTGTATTTTCAAATTCTAGCGCACTCGAGCTGGTTTCTCCAAAATTACATACCCTACCTTTAAGGGTCATTTTAAAGCCAGTTCGGCTCTACTAAAATCATATTTTTTATGCATGATCAAGATATCATTCTGGTATTTCCAGAACCGGAAAACTCCCTCCCAGATACCATCTGTGTGTTGACAGTATTTCCTGTACACTGGTGTGCTGCAGTGTAAAGAGGAAGTGAGCGTGCCCACCATTAGAGCCGTCACCTGCAGCACAACACAGTCATTAGAACTGGCCTTATGTAACAGTGGATTAACCCACATAGGCCTGGAAAAGCCAGTTATAATGGGCTGCAGCACATGGCATCCAGCTCAGCTGAGGGGAAAACCTTTTAATGCACGGACAGTGCCGCTCAGTGCGTCATTAGTTCACACAGACAGACAGACAGGGGGGGGGGGGGGGGGGGGGGGGGGGTAGTAACAGAGACAATAACAGCCATTAGCTTTGTTAGGAAATGTTTGTTGCTCTATTGCTCTGTGCACACATCACATTACACAAGGGTGGATGAATATACCATAATATCACGTAACATAGGCACTGTGCAGAATCACATACTGCACACTGGAACATAAAACACTTTTTAAATTCACAATTACTGCACACTATGAATAGTACATTTAGGGTGTTCATTCAATTATGAATAATACACTAGTGTCAAACACACATTGTTTATCAGTTTTGCAACCATTTGGTGTGATAACACTTGGAAAGAGAGGATGTTATTTTGTCATGCAACTCCTGCGTTGAGTCAGCAGGTGGATAATGCACACACAAGTCAGTGTCTGTGGCCAGTGAGCAGCTTCCATTAGAATGAATGGGGAACATCTTGTTGTAAGCATTGTTTACCCATCATAATATTTCCCTGCAGCCCTGTGAAACTGTTCTGGTGCTTAAGATTAAGGGTGTAGCTAGCCTAGCTTAGCAACGTGACCAGAAGGAAGGAGGGGTGATGGTGGTGTGTTTTTGAATTTGGGATAGAGCCATGTTTCCAGTATCTATGCTAAGCTCAGAGTAAGATGTTACACTGTCTCACTTTCAGAGAGAAAGCAAATAAAGCCAATTCCTGCCTCTTGTAAAGAGATGCTAAAGCTTTTACTTATATCGATCGTACGAATTGATGGTTGTTTGAAAATGTTCAAATGTACCATTAGAAAGCAGCGGTGGATATATTAAAGGATATTAAAAGAGGTTTGTGAGTGTGAAAATAAAGTGTATTTTCAGGTTAAACCACAAGTGATAAGGTGTCACGTATCATTTCCTGTTGAGGTATTAAGCAGTAAGATTCTGATTGGCTGCGTCAATCATCAAAATATGTCAGACCGACATGTTTGAAATATGATATAAATTAAATACATGTTTATGTTGTGTATTCATTCAGACAATGGCACAGTTAATACTTGACATAAAAAACACGAGTGAGAAGTGAGAGGAATCATTGCTCAATGCTGCTAAGAAAATACTGTTGATGTGTTGCACAAGAGTGTGTGTGTGTGTGTGTGTGTGTGTGTGTGTGTGTGTGTGTGTGTGTGTGTGTGTGTGTGTGTGTGTGTGTGTGTGTGTGTGTGTGTGTCAGTAGGAAGGCCTTATTAAATGGCCACTAACAGCAGAGAGCAGCTGTGGTCTCACTGATAGCATGAGCTGTTTCCTGTTAACCTTTGTCTGAAACCACACCTCACTATTAAAGAGTGTAACTCTTATTAGGGAACATGTTTAGAGCAACGGCACAAGACATGTAGGACACATGGGTCATACAGAACCATCTGAGTCTACAGCTAAGCTAGCGGCTGTGTGTGCTGCTTGCACATCTTAGCTTAGCATGTTAGCATGCTAACATTTGCCAATATGCCCTAAGCTTGAACTACCAAAAAAGTATGCTTTGTAATGGAATACATTTTGTGAATCATTCAGTTTGACTATTCAAGCCAAGGGAACCATTTGTGCCAAGATCGTGGAGAACATGCGTCTCTCCCCAGCTGACCTGAGGCCTTTAAATGCACAAAGATATTTTGGAAATGAAAATATGGAGTCTCCAGCTCCTCCAACAGCAATGCAACATAAGATATACTTAAAATAAAAAGAAAGATATGAATTAGTGCAGTAAATAGACAAAACGGTTCAAGTCAGTTGCAGGAATAAGAAAAATATGTATATGTAATATAAACTAAAACAGAATGTAAAATGAAATACTGTAGAGTTGAAACAAATAAAGTGAACAGAGCAAGTCTCCTCTAGTTCCCAGCAGCCTTTCTGCAGACATTGCACGTCTCGTGTATTAGTAATGCAAACCTCACAATAATGATGCTGAAATTAAATGTCAAGTAGACCTATTTCGCCATGCAGGTAAACCCATATGCAATCACCTTAAATGTTCATTGAATTCATGAGGCAAATGTCACTTGAATCCAAGTGAAGCGTTTGACTCGGTGGTGCTTCTGGACGATAAGTCAGTGGGTCTCCCAATAAATGAGACCCTATTTACATCCAGTGGTATACAGAATGTATAAGGACACACAGTGAATACATACAGTACATGTACACAGAGCACACTGCTCTATGATCTCAGCTCAGATTAAAGCAACTTCGCTGATATACAGTGGTAGACTGTACTTATGTACCATTTTGAATTACTTGTACTTTTCCTCAAATGATCCTCAGTTTATGCTACTTCATACTTTATTCTCCACTACATTTAAGAAGCCAATACTGTACTTTTTACTACACTACATTTATTTGACAGCTTTAAGTTACTTTTTAGATTTAGATTATAAGCTAACACAAATTAATTATTGAAATAACTATGATATATAGCAGGGGTACTCAAACTTTTTTATTAAAGGTCCACTTGTGAACTTTATTCAAGGTCACTGGTCCGGATCAATGCCAGGAAAGTCCCCCCCCCCCCCGGAGCGGAGAATCGAAACTGAAATTAAGAAGCAGTTTCTTACGGCGCTCTATGCATGAGGGGGTTTCCCGACATGTCGTTGCAGTAAATAAAAGGGTGTTACATGTTGTCGTTGCTGTGGACCTTCTTAATCTACCTTCTTTGGGGGCCCCCTTCTGGTCCAAGCACTTGCCTGCCTTGCCTGTCGGCAAACGGTGCCCCTGTATACACACACACACATTCAATACATACATACAGTATGATGGCTTGAACTAGTGGGAGAAACTGCACTGTTTGTCTGTAGCCAATGCTTTGAACCTCGGCAAAAAAGGCATTAGAAGCATTAGAAAGTCAAGGTAAACTTGCGGTCTGCAATGCGTGTCACGCTCGCGCAGACAAGTAAATATATATGCACGTTCATTCTCACAATGCGTCAGACACAAGACGCGCGTACACAATGATGTACATTAATTTATCAGAATCAGAATTATTTAAAAAAAAAAAAAAAATCTTTTTTTTTTTATATAAATGGGACACAGGGTTCGGTCCGGATTGATTTGCAGTTCGGTCCGGATCCGGACCTAGGTCCGGAGTTTGAGAAGCCCTGATATATAGTTATAGTTTAAGATATCAAGCAGAAGTATATAAAATAATTCAAATTATAAGCACAATTAACTTATTGTGAGAAAGACATTAACATCAGTTATCATAATGCGGTTATTCAATATATACAATTCTGAAATGGGCTTTAACGTATAAGGAGCACTTTAACTTTTGGTACTTTAAGTATATTTTAATACAGATGCTTTTGTACTTTAAAGGTGGGGTAGGTAAGTTTGAGAAACCAGCTCGAGATACACTTTTTGTTATATTCCATGGAATGCTCTTAACATCCCGATAGCAATGAATATCTTAAGTGCTTTGACAAAAAATCCATAAAAAAATATCATCTGTGGAAGCCGTAATACTGTAAAAAGCACGACCAATCATCTGAGCCGGCCCGGCTAAAATAACTGGATGGCCTACCTGCCTGTCAGCCTTCCATCTGTGCACAAACTTATCCCGTGCCCTCATTAGTCACGTGCGCGTTCGTGTGTGTTGGAGGAGGGGCTCTGTAAGGAAGTGGCAGATTTTTTCCGGGTGTCTATTTTCAAATTCTAATGCACTCGAGCTGGTTTCTCCAAAATTACCAACCCCACCTTTAAGTATTTTTAAATGTTAGTATTGCTACTTTTACTTACTTATATCTCATGCTTCTGGTCAAGAACCCACAGATTGCCCCCCCACCCCCGGCAGAGTAAGATAAGTATTGCTGCTACCTGTGGTTAACTTCCTCCATCCAGATGAGCTGTCAGTACCAGGAGGAAATGAGTGTTGGATTACCCTCTCAACACAATGACTGTCAGCAGCTTACTTCATGGGGAATGATTAGCCCGGTGCGGAGGAGAGGATGGACCCTCAGGGAGAGAGAGGGTCTGCAGAACATGCACCCCGTCATGGACCTCAGCTTCACCAACGAGCAGGGATTACGGTTTTGGCCGTGATCCCAATCTTCCTTAAGAGTTCCTTAATATCTGCTCATACAAAGTCTGATCCCATGCAGGTTGATTCAATTATAGCCATGACAAGAATGAAACTTGAACTGGGATAATGTGACTGCTGATGTGATGTGATCAGCTGTGGAGAACATGGTGCTCTGTTGGAACCTCAGTTCCTGTCTGGCCTCTTCAGTGAGGAATTAGAACCTCTGAAACCCAGATATGACTTGAACACACCAGAGATGCTGTATTGTGTTCATGTTCTTTACAGGTTTGCAGTGAAGAGAGTTCCCCTGCTGTCATGTTTCTGCTCAGACTCAGGGGAAGGCAGGCTGAGGTGATTTGTAATGAAAGATCCTACAATAGAAAGAGTCCCATTGATTCATACATCACAGGCTACTTTTGTATTGCCCCCCCTTCCTACCTTGTGCCAATGGCCCGATGTTCCGCAACCTGGGCAGATACATTTATACTTTTTATTTTCTTATTTGCATCTTGAACAGTGCGTATTTCTACATAATTATAACAAGAGCCAAATGGATGCAGCAGAACAAGAGATACAGTATGTGTTGTGGTCTGATAGTGTTCATCTCTGATAAATAACTTTACTCTGAGGCTAATAACTGAAATGTGAAATGACCCTAAGTACCTACAGTAAGTAGCAGCCATGATAAATGCTGTTAACATTCTCATGAAAAGGGAAGTAGAAAATATTGTCCGACAATTCCTTTCAACCACAACATTTAAAGTGACGAACCATTTTGTTGTTCACATTAACAACTGATTGTGAGGACAAATGCAGATCATGTAAGAAACTGCGCTTACCATGCATTTCCCATCTTATTCCATAACTTGCTATAGTGGTTATGAATTTTCAACAATATGTTAAACGAAAAGGTGAACTATGATCATTACACTAATTGAAACAAAGTCAATATGTCACAGTGTGACTGAGTTTTGTGCTGTTTCTTAAGCTATTTTTGATTTAACATGTTGAATGGTGATATGCGCAGTAGTAGACGTGTAGGCCTAAAACGTTTTGCATTAACTGCATAAACAATGATTTGTCAAATACTTTCATATAATCATGCTGACTGGAATTCGGACTCATACGAGTGGACAGCAGGGTGAGCGTGAGCAAACATCTGTACTTTCACTTTCCATTTCTTTTTTAATTCAAACCTTGGTAATGAAGTAATATATTTGCCACACGTTCATAAAGCCCACATTTAACAACATGATTATTATGCACAGGGTCAAGTATCTAGATGGGCTGTGCATCTATGGAACATTGTAGTTTCCCCACAGCAGACACACATCAAAATATCCACTGGGGTCTCAGAATCAGGTCGCCCAGTGCAGTCTGAGGAACTCTCCTCACATCTCTCCTGACCCCAGGACCTTCTCACTGAAGTTAAGGGGAAGTTGTTGGGACCTGATTGTTTTGACAGATAGACCATAGTCTCTGTCTTCTTTCATGTCAAATCATGGTACCTTCATGGCCCAAAATGCACTCATTTCCCAGTTGGGTTTTGACTCGGGTTATGGTAATAGTGACTAATGTAGCCTGGTTACAGAGGTCAGGTAAGCTCACTTCTTTCTAACTGTTTTTATTCTTTCAAACGCTCAGTCTTCAGCCCCAAGAGACACTGAGTCAAGAGACATCAAAAGTCATACTGAGACAGCTCCTCTGGAGACACTTAAGGCTTTATGCTACTATTTCATACGAGCAGAACAACTCCCCAGCACTTGATGCATGACACCAGCTGGGTTCCCCTTAACCCCAGCATTGGGAAATAGGCTTTACAATCTCAATCAAATCCTCAGATTTGACTTAATCAACAATATTTGTGTATTTGATGGTCAGTAAATAAGGTTTTACAGTAAACTGTTTTCCTGTATCAGACTGAATTTCCATTTGTTTCACTTCATTATTCTAGTTCCTGTTAGCGGTTTCTAGGTTAATACCCTAACCAATCAGCAGCAAGCAACTTCTCTGTCCCGCCATGTTATTTCCCGTTAACAAAGAAGCTGCGGCTGCTGTTTTTCAAAGCAGCTAAGTAACAAACTAACAATCAATTCAGATAACAACTGTGCTCGTAGGGTGCAAAGCATGCATTGTGGTGAATTCACCAAGATAAAATGATCAAATCAACAGAAAGGGTTAAATGTACATCTAACTATGCTGTTTCCATGAACTGTATTGAAATGAGGTTATATGCAGATGTTTGGAGCTAAATATTTGAATGCAAAAGAGCATCCTTCCAAAACAATGTGGCGCAGCACTAATATCCCTAGAGTTACAGTCAAATGAGTTATGTTTTCAGAGTTGGCGGTAACTGCAGTTAACCCCCCTGCTTTTTTAAGGGGAATCCACTCATTTTATTTGGGTCCCTGTGGACACAGTGACAGGATTATGTTTCATCTGTAAAATGTCCCACTCAGTACAGTTACATTTCTTTACAAACCACATTTTCAAGGATCTTTGGCTCAACATCAGGGTCAGATGTGCATACCTGAGGACTGACTCAGAAATGTGTAACTCTGTAATACACCCTGACTGCATAATGCTGCATGTCACTAATAACTTCTGCACTCAGGAGCAAAGGGCAGCCCGCGACATGAACCTGATTGGTATGTTATTCAAATACAAAAGATAATAGTCATTGATACCTGAATAACAAGTGAAATACTTTAGAAAGATTACACAAGATCTCAGGGACTGTAAACAGAGGAAGAGTTACATATCATGTAAGCTGTAATGTCTATTACTTTTGATTTGTTTCATTGCAACAGCACTTCTGTGGTTTAGCACATAATACAGTAAAATCTTGTTTATGTTTTTGTTTGACATGTCTTTATTTATATCATAATAAGTCCTGCAGCTGTACACCTTTCTCACCAGCCTTGCATGTCTTTTATTTGTAACGTTAAAAAGGAACACCTACCGTTATATGTCACTCTGGGTTTGGTTAAGCACAGCACCAGGTGCAGATCCATCTCATCTGAGGACACAAACTTGGAGCACACAGGGCACTTGAAGCCTGGAAGAAAAGAATGACAAACAATGAATAAGAGAATACACTCAGGGGACAGATAGACGATAAGGTTACACACTAAAGGCTTAAACAGAGTTCTGGAGGTGTCCTCTCCTCTGCAGCAGTATCTGACTCCACTGATCACAGTCGGTTTGTAAAGGGGCTTTCTTTGACCCCATTTACACGTTAACGTTTGCGTTTACGCACCGTATGCATTTTCAAAAAAGTCTTCCGTTCACACGCATTCGATTCATTTAACGTGTCCGTTCACACGAGACCGCTGGAAACGCTGGAAACGCTGGAAACGCTGTAGTACATATGCCGGGCCTGTAAGTGGCGCTGCTGCCGCCACAAGATACACCAAAAGCAGCGAAGAAGACCCCGGAGCATGGTTGCCATGGTTTCCCTTCTGTTTATTCTCCGCGGTGGACGGCGTGTGCTCCTGCTGTACATCTCTCCGGTAGTCCACCAACAGATGAAAAACACCCACCTCTCCGCCTCTTCCAAGGGACGAGGGGACCGTGCGGCAGAGTATCCGTTAACATTTTTTTTCGCCGGTCAACATGTCCGTTAAAGTTTAAATCTTCCGTAGGCCTACAAAATTAGAAAAGTGCCGGTCAGAGGTCTTCTTTGTTATTTATTGAGCTTTAAAACAAATTGATAACGACTCTATATAATAATATAAGAATAATAAACGGAGCCTCTCTTTTCCTCCCCCTCTTCTGACAGCCCAGCAGCTGATCTCTGAGCAGGAGACGTGGGGAGAGGGAGACGTGGGGAGAGGGAGACGTGGGGAGAGGGAGGCGGGGCTTTTTCATCGTTATCAGAAAATGATCGTATAGAGGCGTACACACGGAGCCGTTTGACCCCCCAGAGCGTTTAGTTTGCAAATCTATCCACCTTGGGACCAGTTATCGTTTGCGGGGTCCCGTTTCTATCGTTTTGTTACGGCCTCGTGTAAACGAAAGGGCTATACGCAAGAGAAACTATGCGGATACAACCCGTTTCGTCCTCGTGTAAACGGGGTCTGAGTTGTCTGTCCAGCCTCAGTAGCTACTGGTGCTGATTACTTGGGGTAACACACCACCATCAAAAGACACATTGAGTTGTATTGGGGTATCATCAGGGTAATACCAACAGTGAACAGCCATATTTATTTAGCTTAGAATGATTCTGATTTTAATGTTTCATTTATATTACATAAGATATTCATTCAATGATACCCCATTTATTGTATTCTATATATTTCTGGTTGGCAGGAATCTAATTGTGTCAACTTAAATTCAATCATTTGGACTATTCTATGTTGCGACAACTTCACGACTGGGCTCTTGGAAAGCTCTGGGAGGTAGGGGGGAGGTTTGTGACGCTAACAATTCTGAAGAGATAATAATAATAATAATAATAATAATAATAATAATAATAATAATAATCACTCTCTAAAGTGACTTATTACACATTACATGAATTATTCCATCAATCTCTAATAAAAGAAACATTACCGTGGAACTTTTCGGATTCTAACTTTGTAACAGTTTTCACAAAACCACATCACAGTAACCTCAGTTCACCACAGCGAAGCTAAAGGCGGCTAATGTTGGACATGATGTTAGCAACCGCTGTTTTTAAGACAAGTAAAAGCTTCAGACTTTCAACAGTGGGGTATTTACTGACATATTTTATGTCATAGAAAAAACATCTAAATATCTCGTAAGTTTGTATTAACCATATAAATAATTTCAGCAACCTCATCAAAAACTAATTCAAGTATCCGTTGACTTTCAGACGAGGGAGGGAAGTGCTATAAACTAATTTCTGGGTTAAGGACTCATTCCTGCACCACTCTATTTGTAAAAAGGTATCTCAAACAATTGAAAGGCACCTGAAGTGTAATACGCCAGATAGGCCCTTTTGTGTTCATATTAACAAAGCGCTCCATCAGAATAAGCAGAGAGAGCTTTAACTAGGAATGACAGCAGTGTTCACAGATGTTGCTTTCTGGCTATAGGTTCTTTCACCATTACATCATGACAATCACTGACAGTATAACCTGACATATGTTTACATCGAAGGCCACACATACTATTCTAAACATTATGCCCCCAAGAAGTTTCCAGTTACAGTGCTGGTTCTAATAACCCTTTGTTTAAGTTACCATCATCATTTGGTTGTCTTAATCCAAAGCACATTGTGCAGTTTCCACTGACATCACTGTGCCCTGACCAATCAGCTGTCAGCATACAGCTCTGGAGCATGGGCACAATGTCACAGACAGGTGACTGACATGAGAACTGTATGACGTATGTGAGTATTCTACAACGTAGAAATAATGATGCTGGTGGGATAAATAGATGAATGTAGCCAATCCCCTGAGTTTCTCACCTCTTTAAACCAATCACACAAAGCACACCTGCTCTCACAGGATGCCTCTATCATGATCTCCTGGCCATCTGCTGACAGGCCATGTGTGGTCTAGGTGTGTTTATTAAAGAGGGACGAGGAGGAGTTCCAGCTCTGCACAACTCCTCATTCTGAAAAGACAAATCTGAGTCCTCCCTGTGAGGCCGTGTTGACTCATGCAGGAAACTGTATGGGATGTTCTTTCCAGGATATCAAATTGCTGTGTGTGTCCCCATGCATGTCTTTGAGGTCACACCTGCCCTGGTAGCATTAAAACTCTGGCCCCTTCATTTATATTTCTCCAAGGATCCCTCACTGGAAGATGTTAACAAGAATGATTCTTATTTCATATATTTCATTTTCCTTTGTATCGCCCAACAGCAAACTTTGCTAGTGTCATAGGAGTCCTATCTACAGAATGAAAGAAAACAAATCAAGCATCATTAATCAACAAAATGATCTGAAACATCTGTTGCCTTGAGGTGGAAATGTTTGGATGATGAGGTATTAGGAAACAACAAGATGTATAACTTGTGTAACAACTTAAAGACGTGCTGTAAGGGTGAATGCATTGTCTGGTTGTCTGATCTGTAGGGCTCCATAGTGATCGGTTATTCATCCCTTCATTGATTTGGTTAGGTAACTAAAAACTGTTGGGAAGATATGTCTGGTTTCCAAAAAACTCAAATTGGTTTAAACCCTACAAATACATTGATACAGTCTGAATCTCTATCCCTGATGTAAGCTGAGGAAAGCAGTGGCCCAAAGACAACGGACTTGTGTTGTGTGCAGAACTATGAACTGTAAATGATGGCCACTAACAGTCTGATTAACATCCAAGAGGTCACATAGACAACTAAAAAGCTGGGTGAATTGTGAACGGCGGGCCCTTTTTTTTACATTTTTGCATGTGCATGGAAGGGCTGACTGCTATTGATTCTTCAGCTCATCTCCCGGTTAATGGCAATCATAGAGTGGTGCACAAATAAATACGACAATGAGTTAGCATTTTGGCACTTTTGAGCTCCCTGGTGTCAAAGAAAACATGTTTTTTAAATTATGTTTTTGGTTAGATCGTATCACTTTTGATGTGAAATCATGTGACCATCATGGAGTTTGTTTACTGTCAAATGTTAGCTTTTTACTTCTGGTGATTGCGTTTAGCTTTAACTATCATAAAGAGGTGTTAATATGTGGAGATTATCCTGCTAAACCAAACGTGTAAGAATCATAAACGTGTGTTTTGTTGTGGGAGCCATTGCGATGCTAATTTCTGTGGACCTACACAAATATATGATTCTGTTCTCTCTCTCTCTTCTCACATCCTACATCCAAGAATGACATATAATGGCAGTAAATAATCAATTGACTGAAATAACACAGAACTAACAACCATTTAGATTCTGGATAATAATGAATGAGCCCACGTTTTCTCCTAATGCAGGCTATAGTTCTTCTGCTGCTGCTGTAGAAATTGTCCTTTAAGAGGTCAATAGAAACCTCGCCAACAGTCACCATAGTGCTGGTCAAATATTTTATTCTACATTGCTGTGTAAGTTAAGACCAACACACAGTTAAGGTTTTCCTTAAAGGGCCACAGCTTTAACATCTCACACTAGGACTTTTCACAGTTTTGACTAGAAGCCACATTTCGCTGGGTGCAGTGTTCTTTATCTACTGCCCTTAACTCAGCTCTCATCCACCCGAGTCAGCACATCCGGAAGTCCATACTATTAATGGGATTTATGATTCATCAATTTATCGATCAGTACACTGTTCATTGACAAGCCTGGCTGCACCCCTCCCCACAACACAGGCATTTAAAATGTCTTCAGTTCCCACTTAGTTTTTTTAAAAAGACAGGAACATTTATAAAAAGTTTATAATTGCTTTGGACAGGAACTAGGTCTCTCAGAGGGCAGATATCAATCAGGATTGGCCAATTCACATCCTCTCTTTCTCTTTGTGCAGTGGCTTGGATTCCAACAGTGAATAAGACATGCAGGTAGCAGGATTCTATGAGGTTCATTCAAATCAGTGCAAAGCGGGTTGTTGCAATGTTGGTGAAATTGATGTCTCAGAACAGTGTTTGTGTCTGACACAACACCAATGAGCTGCCTCTTTGGAGATTCATCATCTAGAGCAGGGGTGGGGAACCTCCGGCCTCCGGGCCGTATACGGTCCGCGAGACCATTTGATACGGCCCTCGAGGTAATTTATAAACACACGCAAAAATCTAGACCGCAATAGAATTAAACACGCGACTGCCTGTTTTTCCTGGCCAAGGACAGGTTCCTTGAACACAACACGAGCCTAACATGTCATCACGTGGTGTAGTGCTGCCGGAACGCCGCTCCGGCACTTCAAAAATTGCAGTACTTACCCATAAAGAGCCGTACACATGCTGCAGTTTTTGCGTAGCTTTGTCTTTAGTTGTAAGCCCAGTGGCGATCTGTTCATCTGACATATGATCATACAGTCAATAACGCCATCGAAGATAATATGCTACATTACAGTGCTACTACTTATAGGTCTTTGTGTGTCACTCAAGCTCGGCTCTGTGTGTGTGGCACGAGCGTATTTTGTGTGTGTGAGCGAGCGAGAGA